AAATTATATTTAATTGTATGATTTTGATATGTATTTAATTGTTTTAAATGCTATGTGTTTATTTGTATTTGAATTGTTTCTTTTATTTTATTTTAAAGGATGGATATGGATAGTAGCAATGGACCAACCATTTGGGTCCATGGACTACTTGGACCAACCATTTAATGGGTATAAATATTTACCCATGTATAGTTGTATATATATATTTATGGGGATATATGTAAATATTGATAGTTTTATTATTACTATTATTTTTAATTGTAGTATTATTAATAGTAATATTATAATTATTGTTATGGATAGTTATATATATATGTAACAAACTTCGTATATATATATTTATATTTATTTTCTATTTTCCTTTTTTCTTTATTTATAATTAAGGTAAAGTTGAATTAGGAATATGATTTTATAATTATATATATATGTGTGTGTGTGTGTGTGTGTGTGTGTGTGTGTATTGGGAGTCTGTGAAAAGGTTAGAAAACCTTATTCACGTATTGTCAAGGCAAAATATTTGAGAGAGTTTTAGAGAGAGAAAGAATGAGGTTTTGGCAAAGGTAAAGGCTAAACCAAGGAAGAAAGAGGCTTGGGTTTTCAATCTGAAAATCTTAAAGCAAGTTCTATTCTATTCTTCTCCTTTGATTTCATGTTTTATACATGCCTAGGTTAATTGCATGATGTTTAAACTGAATTAATAAACCTATTTGCAAATTAAAATCATATTTACAAAGTATGAATATATGTTATTGGGTTTATATAGATTTTTCATATTTTGATGAATTGATGAATGAATTGTGTTCTGTAATGTTGAAAGCATGTTTATTTGATGTATAATCATTGGTGGGACATTCTATGACGTAGATTCAAAGCTTTGAACCTTCAACAATTGAGGTTTGAAGAGTTTTGTTCGTCTGAGACGAAGAAGATGATGAACAGCGGAGGGTACCAGTCAACTGATATAAGGATTCGGTCGACCGAAGAAGGGCCATCAGCCGACCAGAATGGACTATCAGTCGACCAATAGGGCTAAATCGGCAGACCAATAATGCCATCGGTCAACTGATTTGGCACTGGGATGGTTTTCTGGTATTTGCAAACTGTATGTTGTTTGTATGTGTTGGATTTGTTATTAAATCTTTTAAATTATTTAAAATAGATTCATGGAGGATTGAAATGCACGATTAATATTAATATGTTAAGGATTTGAACAATATGGAATTTAAATTAATTTACATATTTTTAGTGGAGAATATAATCGCTCAAACTTAATCTAGCAATTTTCAATGATGTATATTTGATTTTAATTATGTGTTGTTAGTATAATATGATCATGTATTTAACCAATTTAAATAATGCTTATTTCTGGATTATTTTGATGTATAATTATTTATGTTTCATCAATTATGGATTATATGGATTTATGCATCATTGTTAGGATATGGGGGCATATTAGGGAAGGATTAACTAAAATAAGTTAAGTCCTACCTATTTCGTGTTAGGCCACGAAACCAGTTGGATGACATTCCATTGAAATAATGTGTTTGGATAGTTTGCTTTTATATTGGATATGATAGATTTTACATATGTATAGATATGTGTCATGATATGAGCTTGAGTCTCAAGATCAGTGGTTAAGGAGCCTATATGTCTAGGATGCGTAGCTGGATATAATGGATAGTTGTGTGCCCTGTTAAGTCTAGGTACTCATGCCAACTTTATATGCGTTTTGCATGTTGCCTACTATTCAGGTTGCTTATAATCCAGTGAGAGTCCTTTAGTGTGTATCAATATATATACGGACTATTTAGTTACTGCTGAGTTAACAAGGATGTATATGTATATCAGGTCTCTATTTAGGATGTAGTAGATTAGAACTTATTTGTGAGCCTGACCCACCATTATTTTACAGGTGTTCGTCAGGTCCAGATTTAGAGATTGTTCGTACTGAGCCGAGATAGTCCATTCACTCTTCCGACTCTACGTAGGATTCTTCTTTATCTTGTAGTATTTGAATTTGGACTTCTTTATTTATTTCAGTTAAGTTTTAGATTACGGGTCCACATGATGAATTCCTGAGTTGTAATCTAGATGGTTACTGGTATTAGAGGATTTGGAATATTCGAGAATTATTGTTATTAGATTTTTTAATGGAGGATTTATTATTTAGTTTACTTTTCTGCTTTATTCTTAATTCTTTTGTATTCTGTGTTTGTTTATTACCTTAATTGTTTGATATTCCCTCGGGTTTGGGCTTGGACCTGATCAACCCATATCTTGAAGTTGAGAGGTATCACATCTCCTCTGAGAGATACACAGAAGCTGTATTTTCTAAGGAAGGTAGAGGACTGTGATAGAGAAGAGATGCTAGCACAGGCCTAAAATAATCATTTAGGATCATCAGAAAATGAACTAATTGTTGTTGATCTCAAGAAGTGGTGAACTTCTCCGCATCTATAGTAAATACCCATGTAGGTTCTGAAAGTGTTAACTGATCCCAGACGGCATACATTAGAGAAAGAAAGGAGTTAATAGACTGTCTAGGTTCCTATTGCATACGGTAAAGATCACTCAGAAGCTGATATTGATGAGCAATATCGAAAGTGGTATATCAGTTCGTTTAGAAATCCCAAATTTATTTGGCTGCCTCAAAACGGCCGTATTATAAGCTGATAGATGAAGCAGAGGTATTATGAAATCAGGTGATGATCTGATGATTTTTACTATTCCAATCTTCAAGTCACTCAAGAAACTTGTTGTTGTCTTCATCTTTTGCTTTTTTAGGCTCGGTGACATCACCGATAACATTTCACCATAATTTGCATCCCTTAAGAAAATTGGATATAGTTCGAACCCTCCAAGGTTGTGTAAATTGGTTAGGAGACATCAAATGGATCCATGGTAGTATATATATATATATATATATATATATATATATATATATATATATATATATATATAACGTAAAAGTGAAACAACGATGATGATGCACCACGAAAAGAAAATTGCAAAATTCTAGATTAGAGATGATAACAGAGAGCGTGTTCTTTCTCTAATGGTGTAATACAGGTCACCGATCGGTGGCTCTGATACCATGATCGATTGAGGAATGAGAAAATTCTCTGTATTTCAGTATATCATAACAAGTTGTACAAAAGGCCTATTTATAGGTTTAGAGAATGCATGCTATACAAGAAAGATGGTAGGTGAGAGCAATATAATGAATGTGGTAGGTGACTGCAACACAAGGTAGGTGTTAGGTGAGTGTAATACAAGAAATGTATCTAACCCTAATGTGTGTATAGGTGTATTGCATGAATTATATACATTAACAATTATTATTATTATTATTATTGTATTTAAAAGGAAGCTCGTTTGTTATACTTTCACAACAGTTTATTTCCAACTACATTAGGCTTCTTTGGATTGAGGGAAAGGATAGGGAGGCATAAGCATGATTGTCTTTGAATTGGTTAAAATGAGAGAAAGGAAAGGATAAAGAGGGATAACTATCTCTTATATCCTATCGCTCCAAAAATGAGATGATAATGAGGGAAATAATAATGTTTAAGTAGTATTTTCATAATTCTGAAATTGTTCTCACTAATTAAAAAGAAGAAATTGTTATCCTACTCATATTACATATATATTTAAAAGGGTATGATAATAATTTAGTTGTTATCATTTCTTTTTATTTTCTCTCTTCTATCTTATTCAAAAAATAATACCATCATTTCTTTTCCTTTTTCAAATATCTAATCAAACATGATTACATATTATTGCTATCTTTTTTTTTTTTTTTTTTATCTCGTAACTAATAACTTCATCTCCTTTCGTTTTCTCTCTAGTATATCCAAATGGAGCCGGCCTTAAAATATCCAACTTTACAAATAGAAAAGATCCAACTTTTCCATTTCCTATCTCTGGTTATCACTTTGTTTCTCTATGCTATCCATTGGGGAATGTGGGGAGAGGGTCGGAGCCCTAGTACCTAGGGCAAAAAAGTTGCGGACGTCGGAGGTATCCTACAGATTCCATTAGTAGAAAAGAAGTGAAATCCATGCGTAGTTCCTAAACTTTGGTTCATGTATTGCGTAGTCCGAGTGCCGTGTAACTAAATTCAGCCCCACCATATATATATATAGCCATAAAATGTGATTGTTGTAGCCTTGTATTTTAGCACAATACATTCCATATAACATCACCGACCATTCCCCTGACATTTCGACTTCTCAGCTGGCACAATACAATGAAACCTATCCACAAATTACAATAAACTTTTTTGCCGCGCGCTCTTCATCAATTTTTTTTTTTTTTTTTCCTCTTCTGCAGAAATTAAAGCAAATGCACACATTGGAATTCTGAACTTCCTGCTAGCGACTTAGATAGTTTACAAATTGAATGTGCGCAAGCCTCACTATTGGTGAGACTCATACTAGCAAATTAAGAAATGTATTCCAAAAGTTATTAGCAGTTGGAGCTGCTCGTACACCATCTTACCCATCCATCAATTGAACAGGTACCAATTATCCAAATACCGAGTCCACCCAGGTAAACACTTTGACATAACACTAAATTAAGGGCCAAATCTCTCTTGATATCACTTATAACGAACCAAATACTTATCATTGGACACAAAAATTTAATTTAATTATTATGTAGCACTCTATACTCTGTCTTAATTATTATGTAGCACTCCATACTCACTTTATTCCTTATTGCTGCTCAAATTATCCCCATTATAGAGAGCATTTAACCAGCCACCATATATGCATATCCACCAACAAACTGTTTTTATAACAAATAAAACTAACCAATACCTTATTTTTGATTGTTGGAGGCGGATTTTTAGAACCCATAAAATATCTCTGCCCCCACGATAACCTTTCCTCCTCACACGTGTCCTCATCTCATTCCACCATCTCCCCTCTACAGCTTATCTCTCTCCTATTTATATATGTACTCTCTCTCTCCTCTCCTCTCCTCTCCTCTCCCGCCTTTTCTTCTCATATTCCTAACCATAACAAATACCAAACCCCTCTCTCTCTCTCTCTCTCCCCCCTTCCTTTACCCATCTTCTTCTTCTTGGGTTGAAGGGCTCAATTTCTTCATCATATTTGCATACATATAGATACATACATATATAATTAGGAGGGTTTTCTACTAAATGAACAACTAATTTACCTTGGAAAGAGACCAACAAGATGCAGTCTGATCCAAACATCTCGTCGACCGCTAAGGATGAAGACCTCAGCGTCCGAAACAGTACTAGTAGCTTATCATCCTATGTACCCAACTGGATGGGTGGTGACAGCTCTCCGATGACCATGTCTCCATGGAACCAAACCTCACCTTTCATCAAATCTCCATGGACCAAATTTGAAGAGGACACCCATCAAAACCTCCCTCAAAACTTCCTCATCGGATCACTAGTCCGCGAAGAAGGCCATATATATTCCCTGGCTGCCACCGGCGATCTCTTATACACCGGCTCCGACAGCAAGAACATCCGGGTTTGGAAGAACATGAAGGAATTCTCGGCCTTCAAGTCCAACAGTGGCTTAGTCAAAGCCATTATAATCTCCGGCGAGAAGATCTTCACGGGCCATCAGGACGGCAAGGTTCGGGTGTGGAAGGTTCATCCAAGGAACCCTAACATCCACAAGCGCGCCGGAAACCTACCCACCTTCATGGACGTGTTCAAGTGCTCCATCAAACCGAAAAACTACGTGGAAGTGAAGCGCAATCGCACCACCCTCTGGATCAAGCACTGCGACGCCATTTCGTGTCTTAGCATGAGTGAAGAGCATGGTCTTCTGTATTCAGCTTCTTGGGACAGGACGTTTAAGGTTTGGAGGGTGTCGGATTCGAAGTGCCTCGAATCCGTGAAGGCACACGAGGATGCTGTGAACTCGGTCGTCACCGGTACAGACGGCATGGTCTTCACCGGCTCGGCCGACGGCACTGTGAAGGTCTGGAGGAGAGAGATGGTGGGGAGGGTGACAAAACACACCTTGGTACAGACACTGCTTGAACAAGAATGTGCTGTGACGGCTTTGGCTCTTGGCGGGTCGGGTTCGGTTGTGTACTGCGGGTCATCGGATGGTTTGGTGAATTTTTGGGAACGTGAGAAGCAGTTGTGTCACGGTGGGGTCCTCAAGGGGCACGAGCTGGCGATTCTGTGCCTCGCCGCTGCAGGGAATCTGGTGTTCAGCGGATCAGCGGATAAGACGATTAGTGTGTGGAGGAGGGATCGGACGGTTCATACGTGTCTGTCAGTGTTGAGTGGTCACAATGGACCGGTCAAATGTTTGACTGTTGAGGAGGATAAATCACCGGCTGGTGATCAAAGATGGGTGTTGTACAGTGGGAGTCTGGACAAGTCTGTGAAGGTGTGGAGCGTTTCGGAGTCCGCATTTGATTTGAATCAGATGGTCGAGAATCAACAATATAAATCCCAAAATGAGAATGTGAAATGGGATTCTATACCAGAAGCGAAGTAGAGTTACAACTGTATTTACAGTCTTTTGATAGTCTGTTGTTTAATAGTCTTATAAATTTTGATGATTTATTGAAATGCTTGATGTATATATAATCAGTTATGTAGTTTGTATCATTTATTTTTTATTTTTTTTTTTTTTCGTGGGATGTCTAAAATATATGTTCATACTATTCTTATTTCTTATACCATAATATTCTCAAACTTTTGACTAAACAGGTGCAAATAACGAAATATTATATTATCTTTTAACAAAAGATAAATTAAAAAATTAACTCTTTTCAATACAGTAAAATCATAAAAAGTTGAATTCCTCAAAAAGTCTAAGAATTTTGAGATAGAGTGAGTAATATTTTGGTGCGTAGTTACTTTAATGGTGACAATTGGAAGATTATTTTAGAACAGAGTGCGAAAGAAATTTAAAAAAAAAAATATTTTCCGTGTTATAGAATATAAACTGTTAAGAATGTTTTTGAGAGACTATTTGAGCTACCTTTGAACTTAGGTGGTTAGTTTATGCATTTTGAGAAGGAAAACGGCTTTCGAATGCGTTTGACTTTCGGATGTGTCTAATTGAAAGAATGTGAGTCGACTTTCGGACGTGTCCAACTAAAAAAATGTGAGTTGCTTCTTGTTTAAATAAAAAACTTGACTATCTTTAGAAGCCACAAGAACCCAGAAGTTGCAAGAAGCAATATGAAGTTTCTCGTAGCAAAGACCACCAACCATGGAAGGTGTCGTGAAGCAACCCCCCGGTGAAGTTCAACCTAACAGCTACTACACGGTTTTGGACACGAATTTGAAGCCTATAAATATATTGCATCTGGTGCATTGTCGTGTCGTAACACCCAAAGTTGCAATGAAAGTGTAGCCAAGTTTAAATTTATAAAGAGCCACTACTACCTCTAACTACTATAATAGCTAGGGTGAGTAGGGATCGTCCCAAGGGATTTAGGGTTATGTTAATATGGAAACAAGATCGGATTAGTAGGTCGAATGATCGAAAGATTGTTTGTTAGTTAATTAAACTACGATGTAAATGAATTCAATACTAAACAACTAAAGTAAATAAAAGGGTAGAGAACAAGAGAGAGAGGTCTTGGGATCTAGAGGTCACCACTAAACATCACCATTCTAGACATTTAATGTGTAATGATGAGGGGAAACATGTGTTGCAATTCAAAGAGGTGTGATTAATTGAATCAACAAGCATGGATTGACTAATTAAGCATACATTGTCTAGACAACCTAGTGAATAGTACAATATATCAAATTAAGCCATTAATCCTTCCTTTAAGCTCACAATCAACACACTAACAAGTTAGAGAATTATACTACTTGCATTCATAAGTATAGAACATCAAACAACAAGCATGCATTGTCCTTACATCTAAGAAAGTAAAGCAACTACACTACTTCTAAGTTAAGGACATGAAAATTGAACTAAGGTAGAGGCATAATCCATCAAGAAATGAGTATAGACCATCAAACAAACCACAAGAGTATTCTATTTAAGCACTATGCCTTGACAATCTCTAGATTCATAGCATCAATACACATAGACATGCATCAATATCACAAAAACCAAGAGATAAACACATAAACATCTACTCTAGCATACATAGACATATGAATAAAATGAAATGATCAATTGGAAGTATTAATCAACATAAATCATTGTAAGAACAAGATTCATATATAAATTAAGTGTCAAGACAATATTACAACACAAATCCCCTCAAAATACAAAGCATTAAGGTCTAGAAGGCATGCTTAGGGCTAACTCTAGCCCCAATAAGGTGTTTAGCCACTCATTGATGAAGTCATCCAACCCTCAAGGGCCATCTCCTTGGTAGAAATGCTCTTCTCTTTGATGGAAACCCTAGAAGAATGGAAGATCTCCCAAAATGATGTGTCTCTAGTCTCTAGCCTCTCCTCCTCTCTTTTCTTAGTCTCTAAGTATGTATGTGAATGAATGTTTTTCTTAAAATGGCTCCAAATCCTTATATAGGTAGCTCAAGTGTCACACCCAATGGTCTGAACTAGTGCACTAGGGTCCCTTCAATGATTGCACTATGAGCCATCTTTTAATAAGCTGGACTTTGTTTTAATTCGGACTTGAGGAGGTTCGATCAATCGAGTTCAGTTGAGATCGATCGAACTGTGGCCAGATCCATCGAAGTTAGGCCAGATCGATTAATCCTTGGCGGCGCTTTTTTGGAATAGGACAAATCTGAGATATTTTTGGGATATTTTGGGAAAAAGACAAAAATGGTAGGTGAGGATAAGATTAAGGAAGTTCAATCGATTTGAAGAAAATTGGATCGATCAAAGATTAGAATTCTTTGAGGATAAGGACAAGGAGTCTGATCCATCTGGGTGAAGTGAGATAGATCAATGTGAGATCGATCAAAAATATCCCTGATCGATCGAAGATTGCTGATTTCCACTACTTTGTTTCCTCTTTGCTCTATTCTTCCATTCAGCTTGAGATTGCTTCTTTTATGCTCTAATTTGGCTGAATTGACTTATTTTAGGGATAAGCACCTGAAAAAGGCAATAACATGAAATGAGTCTAAAACGGGAAGAGTAAGATAGATAAAAGTCCTACAATACTCAAGCTTAAAGGGTTTAAATGCGCACTTTTCAGCGCTCATCACACCCCCAAACTCAAATATTCCTAGTCCCTAGTAATGAACTACAAAGTAAAGGAATGAAATGAACATCTATACAAGTATGAACTAGAAAGCAATAAATGGATAACACTACTTTTGTAAAGAACACGATTGCATTTAATATATGCAACAAGTCGTTTAAACTCCTAGGTTACCCTTAGTGGACAAGTGAAGTCTCGTGAGGGTTTCCAGAAATGATACCCACAAACATTAAGCTCATTTTCACTAAAGAGGCACCAACATTCCAAATAAGCATTGGAAGAAAACTACCTCAAGTATGCAATTTTTTAACCCTTTCCAAGCAATCTCCCAAAATTTAAACATCAAACAAGCAAGTATGGTCCTCCACCCATCAAGAAAATGATCATGTAAATCAAAACAACTATAGAATTCTTTTTGAGTGGACCGGTATCAAATATGTTACTAAACCAACAAAAGAAATGATCACATCCTTACCCTCAAACTAGCACACAAATCTAGTACCGATCACCAAGACAAAAAGTGGACCTTTTATTAAAGCTTTATTCACTAGGTGCACTTATTCTTTTCACTCATCATATTTTTTTTTTTTCAAAGATGGAAGCATTGTAACGACCCTAAATTTTTCAACCCAGTGTGTTCTGTGATGACCCGAACTGGATCCAAGATGTGGAAGTAAAAGAAGTAAAAAGGGCCTCTAGAGATGTACGTTATCTCTAAGATGCCAAAGTGACTCCCCATAAAGCCACTATACTCAAATGGGCCAAGCAAATGAAGTGAGGATACCTAACCCGAAAAAAAATGAACCAAGGGCAAAATGGTCATTTCACACTTAAATGGGTGCCACCGTGCACACCATTGGAAATACAACGAAAAATGAAGAAGTTAGACTCAAGAATTGCCTGATTTTGAGTTTAGACGGAAAAGATATGAAATTAGAACAAGTGATCTTCTCCGTTTAAGAGTTACCACAACCCAATCTTACTAAAACTGGAATAACTCTCAATATAGGTTGAGTTTTGATGAGTGGTTGGTACCATTGGAAAGCTAACTTCAAGCTCTTGAACTTAGACTCAAGAATGACCAGATTTGAATCAGAAATGAAGGAAATAAGTCCCGCTGAAGTCGTTGTAAGGGAATTATCCAAGAAAACTGGAAGAAGAAGGTCCAAGGGAGGATCGGTCGACCAAAGGCAAGGGTCAGCCAGCCAAACCTCAATCATCAGCCGACCGAACCCTAATGTTTAGCTGACCAAAACACCATATTTTAAGAAAAGCCTACTGGAATGGACCATCAAGGCTTATCAGCCGGTTGATGGACCCTCATCAGTCGATCGACACATCTGCTGCAGCAGAAAAGCTACTGCAATGTGTGTGTGAGGTACTTTGGCCATCTTTAAGGTTTTACATGCATTCTATATGTTCCGAACAAGTTTGAAAACATTTCCTAGCCCCGTGTAAGCATCCAAAACATGCCCAAACAAGGAGGAACTCAAATGACACTTCCATGGATGAATTTTTCACAAAAATTCATAAAATCGCCCAAAAATAGGTCAAAAGTTGAAACTTAAGAGTTTTATAGAATGCGGACATGCACGCAGACGTAAAAAGACATTTAAGATACGTCCCAATGGTCCGCGGCCTCAAAATGTCCCAAACGCAAAATATGACCTCTCAACGGCAAAAAATGCCTTAAAATGCTATAAATGAAACCAAAATGCAAAACCTAGAACGAAATGGTGTTTGGCCCTTGGCCACACCTCATACATGATCATAGAAACCCTATGAAAGAAAAAGAATGGAATTCCCACACCCGATACAAAAGTTATGAAGTAATGACTTAACATTTTTCAATATTTTCATAATAAACCTTGAAAACGAAAGTGCATAGAAAACGAAAGGAGTGTACTTATGTACACTTTACATATTTAGAATCAAATAATATAGGTTTCATATATAAGGCTATGAAATGATATTTCATGCTAACATTTGCATGAAATAGAACTGAAAAGCTAGAAGCCATCCCAATGAACGACAAGCATCATGAACCAAGTCTTCGTACCTGAACAAATCCCCCAGTAACTTTGGGGTGAGTGTAAACAAGTTTACTCGTAATGAATGAGCATGCATAGACTCGATTTCTTTAGAGATTTTTACATTAACTTGAAACAATTGTAAAAGGGACATGCCACTTAACGTCTATATCAAAGGTTAGACTCGGGGATCATCCTAAGCTACTCATGCGATTGAAACGAGATACACGACATATAAGCATACCGGTTACAAGTATACTAAACGAAGATGAAAACATGCGAGGTAAGTATACAAAACACAGGTATACTAATGAGATTGGAAACACACATGGCAAGTATACAAGAAGCAAGTGCATAATTTCAAGTATACTGAATGAGGTCTAGATACACGAAGTAAGCATAATGCCTATGCAATTAAACAAGGTAGGAAATACTCCATATAACATGACAAGGTCCTTATATCTTCAAGAAATATCACTTGAAATCTAAGGGTTTAGAGATTTTGCATGTTGGTATAAATCATTACATGTGGACCATGC